TGAATGCGAGTCAACAAACAAGATGACATGACCTTTCACCCATGACCCATCTCGAAAGGGTTAAAGTAAAACCACCTTGATTACAGTTTATACTAGGTGATCCTAAAGAAAATTGAATATGTCATATCAGACAAATGGTATGGTGAAACTGTACACAGGGGTAAAGACTATCATTCAATTTAAATACACTGTTCATTAAAAGGTGTTGAATATTTTATGATGTGTTTAGGTTATTTATGCTCATTAAGGTAAGCTTGCTTTTGTTACATGTAGAGTCACAGCTCCTGGAGCATCTTTTGAGTTGAAACTTCATCTGATTTACTTGATCAATGATGTGTTGCATCACTGGTAAATATGACTTTTTTTTCTTATTGGTCAAATTATCGCTGCTAAGGTGAATTTAAATGTATGTTTTGTATCTCCATAAGATAGCATAATACTGATTACATTAGTTTTAAGGCATGATGTTCTTATCTAGTAGATGTTAAACATCATTGCAAAGCAATACATACATTCAACATTCACATTGCTTATGTTTATCTTAGAGTTACCCCTTTCTGGTTATAATAAAAACTTAGATATGTGCCAGGAATACAACTAAAGTAGGTTTTATTAAGTGATAATCCATTTATATAAAAAGTAGCATTAAGTAAAGATGTAAATTATAGTGGTCTCACTTGTGGAACTTTGGATTTGTTTGTTTAATCTATCTACTCAGTGTACGTAAAAATGCAGAAGAATTAAAGAAAGCACTGGAGCAAGTTGTGGTTCCTATTTTCTGTACAACCAGTATTGGTATAGATGATGAGAAACAGCAGAAGCTTTCAAAGGTTAGTTAGCATTGTTTTATCCAAAACTAGCTTATCTATTAGATATACTTCCACAGGTTTCACAAAAGTGTTCTGTTTTAAGAGTAAATAAAACCAAAATTATGAGTAACAAATATTTTTCTTTCTTTCTTTTAAAGTTAATATATCATGTTGTGTTGTAGCCTGCAGAGTGCATAATTCTTCTCATCATTCATGGTATGATTATGTTTTACTGGCTTCACAACACTATAAATTGAAATTGCAATGTTAAGCATCGTCCCTCATGACAGATGACTCACTACTGTATAGTGGTACGAGTGATTAAAACAGGTGTAAAATGTTATCTAGTTTAACTAAGATTGTTTAAAGCTAAACAAATGTAGTTTGTGGCTACAACATCTGTTGTTTATGTATTATTATTATTATGTTTATTAGGAGTTGCTGATATTAATAGTTTACATAGCAACAAGCTAAGTCTTAAGTAACCTAGAGGGAGATAATGCTTTCTTGTTTTTCTCTAGCTGCTGAAACTGTGGGAGACAAATAACTATTTCTCAGAAGAAATCCTTGAGGTAATGTTTGTTAATCTGACCATAGTAAATAAGTTTAATAACCATTTAGACACACACACACAAGAACAATAAAATTAAAAAGTTTGAAAATTACCAAAACATTTATTTCCCAATAATGATGGTTTATTTCTTACATTTATGCAAAGTTATGCAATAATTGTTGGGTGTATCAATAGAACTATGCTAGGTTATGTAATAATTGTTGGTTGATGACTAAAACTATACCAGATTATATAATAATTGTTGGATTTATGAATAAAAACTATACCAGGTTATATAATAATTGTTGGATTTATGAATAAAAACTATACCAGGTTGTGTAATAATTGTTGTATGTATGAATAAAAACTGTGCTAGGTTGTGTAATAATTGTTGTATGTATGAATAAAAACTTTGGTAGGTTATGTAATAATTGTTGGATGTATGAATAAAACTATGGTAGGTTGTGTACTAATTGTTGTATGTATGAATAAATTATAATTGTTGGATGTATGAATAAAACTATGCTAGGTTATGTAATAATTGTTGGATGTATGAATAAAACTATGGTAGGTTGTGTAATAATTGTTGGATGTATGAATAAAACTATGCTAGGTTATGCAGTAATTGTTCTGTTTATGATTAAAACTATGCTAGGTTATGTAATAATTGTTGGATGTATGAATAAAACTATGGTAGGTTGTGTAATAATTGTTGGATGTATGAATAAAACTATGCTAGGTTATGCAGTAATTGTTCTGTTTATGATTAAAACTATGCTAGGTTATGTAATATTAGTTGTGTATATGATTAAAACTGTGCTAGGTTATGTAATAAATGCTGGGGGTATAGATATGTCATGTTATGTAATAATTATTGCATGTGTAAATAAAACAGTACTAGGTTATGCAGTAATTGTTGAGTGTTTGGATGTGCTATTAAACCAATACTAGGTTATGTACTAATTATTCGATGTTACTCGGACTATGCATGGTTGTGTAATTGTTGGGTGTATGAGTAAAACTTAAGTAATAATTTAGTGCTAAGTTATATAATGATTGTTGAGTGTATGATAAACTATGCTAAGTTGTATAATAATTAGAGGTTGTATTACTAAAACTATGCTATGTTAAGTAATGATTTAAATATATTATTCATGAGTTCAACAGTTTTGATAATTTGGTTACCAGCATAACTGTAAATTTGTGTTATGAATTAATGACTGTTTTATTATTTCAGCAACTTAAAAATCCATCTCAGTCTTTGGCAAATTACCAGGTGAGAATGTTTCTATACTTTTTCGTAAATTTTCTATTCACTGTTTAAGTTTGAAATCTATTCCTGGAGAGTTACAACAACTTAACTCTATCTGAACAACTGTGTTGAAGTGCATATGTCACAGTCTGTAACAGAGCTACATTCAAAATTTATAAGCTTTATTATCAATTTATGTCAATAAAATTGGCATGAAAATGTAGCTTATAAGTCAAATTTTTATATTATATAAGTTTTAACTTTTTAATTTTGAAAAGAAATACTTAAGAAAGTCTCAAACTTTATTTTTCTATTTCACGTGATGCATCTGAGCTCCAATTTCTCCCTTTCAGAATTTTCCAGTTCTATAAATTAGGCTTCTACACCATCCAGTCAATTAGAAACACAAACTGTATATAACTACAAGCAAGAACTTTCCGTATTTACTGAGATATCAACAAATTTATCAAACCCACCAGAAAAGACTCTTCCCCCTCTCTCTCTGACTTTCAAGATTGTTTCCTAATCAACTTTATATCACTGCTGGACATATTTATAACAAATAGAAAAAGTAGATTCTCCTCTTCAAAAGTCTCAATATTTTGTGTTTTCAGTTCTTCTTTAGTCGACAATAATCGATGGATTTGTGTTGATCAGATTTATTGACTGAACAGTAATGGAACTTTGTTTAATGTATTTATATCTTATTTAGAAAACTGAATAAGTTACAGTAGTTGTGGAACATTATTTTCTAGTGCCTGATGTATCTTTTGGTTCTAAAATCGATATTTGAAATCTACGTAAATTTTTCTCTCGATACCCAAACTTTTGAGACTCGAGACTTGGGATGCAAATGATCTCGTTTTTTGTGTGTACTTTTTATCAATTATAAGTTTTTTATCAAAGTAATTACCATGTAAAAATTATAAACTTAGCTTTAGTGTAACAAAACTTCTGTAAAATAAGATGTCTAAAATTGTGCTAGCTCAACTGCTGGTGTGAAATGTGGCATTAGATCACATGCTGTTTACATTAGCTCTACGGGAAACAGTTAATGGACTCCCACTGTGATTTATTGCTTTTAACATGAGGATTACTGCTGCAGTGGTGCATAGTACAGCAAATAAAACTATAAAATTAACAGAAAACAGATGTATTTTCTGTATTTTTCAGATTCTTATTTTACTGTACATTAATAATTACATGCAGTTAATGTTTGTAGAGAAAGTAAGAGATGAAATATAAAGTTTTACAAAAAAATTGATGATTATTCAGAAGATTCTAGAAGTTGCATGAATAAAATATGAAAACTGTAAGGTGAAAACAAGTATTTTTATTTGTAGCATAGGAATCACTTTTCAGTCATATTAACTCATTAAAGGCTTTGAAATTTCAGACAAATCTTTAGTAAAAGTACTTTGTTAAAAAAATATGTTTTCGTAAAACAGACTTATAATCTTAACTAAAAGGTTGCCAACCTTCATGAAGATTCATATAGTGAATTCAGAATTAAAGTATGTATAATTTTACAGTTTGAAGGTTGGTCAAATTGCTCAACATCATTCCCATAGGGTTAATTGAAGAAAATAATCTCATATTGTAATATTAAACTCCATTGATGAATATTGTTTCAAAAAAAATCTGTCTTGTTTAAGAAATTGCTTGAAAATAATTATCTTGATTGCTTAGACATAGTTTTATCTCAGTTTCAAAAATATTGATAGAGTCTTTTTGGTGTCATACTAACTTATTTCTTGTCCTGATTTTGGCCAGGTGTTCAGGTGTTCTTTGGTGTCAGACTACTGTGTGACACTAAATTATTTCTTGTCTGATTTTGGCCATATTTTCAGGTGTTCTTTGGAGTCAGACTACTGTGTGACACTAAATTATTTCTTGCTGAATACATTAGAATGGGCAGCAACTGGCTGTTGTGGAAAAAACAAGTTTAGGCAGAGTATTCATGATGAGTACACTGGAATGGGCAGCATTTGGCTGTTGTAGATTATTCATGATGAGTACACTGGAATGGGCAGCATTTGGCTGTTGTAGATTATTCATGATGAGTACATTGGAATGGGCAGCAACTGGCTGGTGTAGAGTATTCATGATGAGTACACTGGAATGGGCAGCATCTGGCTGTTGTAGAGTATTCGTGATGAGTACACTGGAATGGGCAGCAACTGGCTGTTGTAGAGTATTCATGATGAGTAAACTGGAATGGGTGGTAATTGTCTGTTGTAGAGTATTCATGATGAGTACACTGGAATGGGTGGTAATTGTCTGTTGTAGAGTATTCATGATGAGTACATGGAAGTGGGTGTAATTGTCTGTTGTAGAGTAGTTCTATGTAGTAGTACGTACGTACGTAGGTAGTAGG